GCCCAGCAGAAGGGGAAGGCTGGGAGGTGGGATGTGCTCTGGCTTTTGGCCTTCTGCATATCCCAGTGTTTTATATTTATGGGAACAACCCAGCCCCAACCCTCCTGATGCTACCTGGCACTGACTTGGTGTACTGTGTTATTGTCTCTAGTAAAGTGTGGGGTCAGGAAAGGGTTAAGGTCCCCCCATGGACACTGATCTGCAGCAGGTGGCCACATCCAGGTAAGATGGAGCACACTTGGGTATAAATAAGGCCCCTGGGGGAAGGCAGCTCCTTTGGCAGAGGCTGGAGGGCTGTGGCGGTGCCTCCCAGGTCAGTGGGCTCTCTCCTGCCTCCTCTTACCCTTTTTGCCTTCTTCGTCTCGGCAGCGCTTTCTGGGGCGGGCACGGTGGTGATGAACTCTGCAGGGAGAGAAGGGGAAGCGTTAGGGTGGGGGGGGTCAGCAGTGGGCAGGTATTTCTGGGGCTTTTGTGGGGTCCTTCTGCAAACCCCTCCCCGGCACCCCTCGCTCTGGGGCTGGAGATGGAGAGCAGCCGTCAGGCAGCAACCTACCGTCCCCTCCCATCTGAGTCTCCTGGCTCTCTTTCACGCAGGCGTTATTGCTTGCGCTGTACTCCTTCACGCTTTCGAAGTCCGACATGCTGATGTTTGTCCTGTAGCTCCCGACGGACACCAGGTCTGTAAAGAGGGAGGAGATAAATACCCCGTACGCTTGCTCAGAGATGGTGTGAGCACATCAGCAGCCTCTGTGCCAGGAGATGCCGCCCAATGCAAGGTCCAAAGCCCGCGGAGGGGTGGTCTCTGTCTCAGCCCACGCACCCGGCGCTGTGCCGTACGGATGGGGTCAGGGAGAAGCAGGGTCCTTTGTCCCCCTGTTGCGTGGGGGGCACTGGGGGAGCAGCTCAGCCCAGCAGAGATGGCGGCGGGCACAAAGTATTGCCTTCGTCTTAATATTGCTGATGTTTCTCGAGAGATTAGAAAAGGCAGGGGCTCACCAGATCTCTTCAGCTGCCTGTATTTAAAAACGGCGAAAGCTGCCACGAGGATCAGGAGCGCAGCACCAATAGGGCTCAGAACTAAAAGAAGTGTGTTGGGGCCGTGGCTTTCATCAGAGCTGGAATGGAGAGAAAAGATCTATCATTAAGCTGTGAATGCATTTTTGTTTCAATTAAAGGCTGAATAATGTACATGAATTTCCAGCAGTCTAAATCTGTGTAGGATGGTAAATCTGAGTGAGCATGGCGCGAATCAGTCAATGAACTGGATCCCAGCACATCCTAGGGGAACAAACAAAAACGTAGGACAGAGCTTGTGCCAAACCAGTTGCCTCAGCAGCTCGGTTATAAACATGTGAAGGAAAACTCTCTAAGCTCAACAGAAGTATTTTCTATTAGTTTTCCTGTACCTGGAATTGCTAATTGTTCCCTTCTGGGACTGTATTTTCTCACTTGGGTTAGAGATTTGTTTCAAGGCTTCTTGTCTTTTGATGTAACATTTTGCTTCTTTTCCTCTGATGTTTTGAGCTAAGATCTTTGGGGACAAGATTTTTGTTTTTTTGGTTGCTAAATCACACACGCAGCGCGCGAGCACAGTACCACCACCGGGTTAAGATAAACTTCACAAAAATGATGAATGAGAGAGGCTTGGAGAGAACTAACCTTTCTGAGGCAGCTGCGCTTCGCACCGCTGTGTCGCTGTAAGGATTTCCTTGGGGAATAAAGTCACCATCAGGGCGGCTCGGGGGCTCGGCGCGGCTCGGGGGCTCAGCATGGCTGGGGGCCTCAACGTCCAGGAGGTCTAGCCTGTGATCTGCACGGCTTCCTACATTTCCCAGGGAAGAAGAGGGGTTAGTCACTTGAGCAGCAGCACGGAGATGGTGACACAAGAACTCTCCGGGTGTAGTTGGGGCATGTGGAACTGCAGTGGGTTTTGGCTGTACATCAGAGGCTCTTTATAATGGGGGTTTGAGATCTGAAATAATCTTACTTCAAATAATTTATTGCAGAAATCTCAAGTAAGCACTCTCTGCCTACGTACTTATGAGAAGTCTTGCATTTCTAAGTTCTGCCTCTAGTATTTCCTGAACAAATTTTAAATACTTGGTTTGCTTTTATTTCTAGCTCTGCTCACCAAAGGCTGTTTCTCTGCTTTCAATTTGACCATCGTCCACCTATGATGGTTATGTGTGGGATCTCTAGAGCTATACTTTTTTTTTTGTGCTCTGCTTCTAACAATATTCCTTCCCAAGAAAAACAAAATACTGCACCAAAGCTGAGACTAAGCCCCTTGCTGTCCAAGGGAGGTTGGTGATAGCCCTTCCTTTCCTGCGCCCTACTATTTTCCTGTTTATTAAGACAATAATTTCCCTGGAACAAGATGCATCTCTGAACTCGGTGCAGCCCTTCACTTGATGGGTGTCGGATGTTGCTTAATTTAAGTAATGCTACAAATTGTAATAGCAATAATTAGTCAGGACAGGGTTAAAAGGTAAAAACGGTGTGGAAGGAAGTGATTTTTAGACTGGTGGGGTTTTTTATGACCGGGAAGCAAAAACAAGCGAGTGGATGAAAACATCTACGACAAGTTGTGCAAAATCAGGGTGATCTTGGCACCTAGTCTGGGAGGGTGCCTGCATGAGAGCACTTCTGTTTTGAGGTGCTGCAACCTAGTGGATACGGAGAGGACTTTTCTCTCAGCAGAAGGCAGCCTGATGCACAGCCCTGAGGAGCAGGAGAGCCCCTGTCTGCCTTTGCCTTGGAGCTCACCTCCAGTCACCCGCAGGTACACTGCCATGGTTTCCCCGAAGGTGCCGTTGTGCTTCACTCCACACCAGTACCACCCTTGGTCTGTCTTTGCCACCGAGTCAAAGCTTAGGATCACTGTCTTGTTGTCGGTGTGACAGGTAACGTCGGGTCCTTGGTCAGAAGGCGACTGCCTTTGGTCAGAAGCAGGCATGGGGGTGCAGCTGGTGCTGCTCCACTTGCACCAGTACTTCTGGTAGGAGTAGTACTTGCATGAATAAGAGCAGGTTAAATCGACCCGTGAACCCACTTGTGCCTCCACCTCCTGCTTTCCCTGCAGTCCAGGTTCTCCTGCGAGGGCAAACAGAACATCAAGGCTGATGTTAGTGGTTTCAGCGGTGAGAATGGTAGTTGACAGGTAGTGGTGCTGTTAGAGATGGTGAACCAGGAGATGTATCTTTGAGGGAAAGTGCTCCTTACATTGCTAAATTAATGCTAAGGATGCCACATATGCACCTCTGGGTGAAAGGTGGGTTGTTTTTTTTTTTTGCAAGGCTTAAGAAATACTTGCATGAGAAACTTCTAGGAACACTTTCCCATAAAACTGAAGCCTTGTGTTTCTGTTTTAAAGGTACTGGGGTGTGGGGAGGTTGGGCACAACGTTTAGGGTTGGACCTCGCATCTCTTCCCGAAAAGCCAGATCTGCTCTTTTGTGGGGCTTTGGGGGTCGGGTTGTACCTACTGAGCAGGCAGAGAACTGCCAACGTGTGAGCTCGTACCATCTATGATCTTCAGCTCGGCTGATGTTTGCTGCTCCTTCTCCTCATCTGTCATGCACCAGTAGTAGCCCTTGTCACTGTCCGTCAGCTGGTTGAGGATGACGGTGTAGGTGTTGGTAGCTGGATTGTCGTACATGGCCACTCTTCCTTCATACGAGTCTGGCACAAACCCGGAGCTGTCTATGATCTTAGCGCACCCGTTCTCTCTCCACTTGCACCAGTACTTCACTGAGGACTTTTTTAGAGGCTTGTAGTAGCATTCAAAAGTTGCTGAACTTCCTTTTACTCCAAATATTGTGGGCTTTCCTTGAGGAACCTTTGTCTCTGGAGATAAAAATGAAATGAGCAGCTATACAAGTCTAACTTTTGCCCGTGTGGCACTGCCCCAAGAGAATAAACATTATCAGATCAAACAAAGCTGTTTTGGCTAAACCAAGGCTAGGTGAAGCTCAGGGGAGCAGATGATAAGAGACTGTCCTGGCAATGCTGGGAATTAACCCTAAAGGGTCTGTCAGGCCTTTCTTCTTCCCAAATTCTCTGGGTGGATGTTGGTTTTGTGTACTGACATTTCAAAGTTTTGCTCCCTTGGCTAGGGGAAGGGCAGGTCTTCTCCTTTCTACATCTGTTATGTTGACATTTAAGGAATTAAGCCTTGAAGAGACTGTTTATCTCAAACTGGTGGGCAGAATTTGCCTTCTGGAGTTTTGGACTAGCCAGACTGGGGAAGATGGCTAGCCACTGCTGGGAAAGTTAAGTCTTGATACAAGCTTTATTAGTGATGGTTTCATATGTTACAGATAGCAAAATGAATAGAAAGATGTATCTAGATGAGAGGATAGGATAATAGCACTCTGTGAAAGTAAATTAAAGATCCTGTTAAAGCGAGACTGCTAGTGATGCTTCTAAAGAGAAGCAGAGATGAAGGTAAAAAACCACTGGGAATAGTTTACTCACCTTCATAAACATGCACGTCCAGTTCCTTCATTTCCCCACTCTCCCCATAGGTGCCAGCCCCACATATGTACAGGCCGGAGTCTTCCCAGCCCATTTGAGTTATCACGATGCTGAATGAGCCTGGAGTGTCCTCATTGCTCAGCAGAACTCGTCCAAAGAAATCCTCATCAACTTTCTTATAAGTATCGATGATGTTGTGGCAGCCACTTTTTGTCATCTTGCACAAGTATTTCCTCGCACTTGCAAAGTCCGGCCCGAAGCTGCAGGACATGGTCAAGGTGCTGTGCAGCTTCACGTAGAAGAGCTCAGCTCCCTCGGGTACATGTGGACCTGTGCATATAGAGACACCAGTCAATGTCTGTTGACCACTCTGTTGGTAACTGTGACTCCCCTACACCTCTGAAGGCTCTTCTTAGCATAGGGTTTCTCTATACCTTGCTGTATTACATGATCATGTGTCTTTCCTGGTCAGGGCATGATCATAGAATCACAGAAGGGTTTGGGTTGGAAGGGACCTTAAAGCCCCCCCAGTGCCACCCCCTGCCCTGGGCAGGGCCACCTCCC